GCTCCCCCTCTTTCAAGGCACTAGCTCAAAACCAGCATCCTCCCCCTCCTCTTCTTCATCTTGTAGATTTTTGGCTACTTCAGCAGGTAGAGAGGCGGAGTCGTCCTTCGGGATACGAGCCTTACTCTTCTTTGGCTTCGGGTATCGGAAGGTGAGGCCCTTTTCCTTTTCTTGTCCTTGGCCGGTTTGGGAACCACCTCTTCCCTAGGCGGGGCTGGCCTTATTTCAGCAACATCCCCGAGGCCTGCATAAAATGGAGTCGAGTATAAGTGAAAAGAAACGTTACAGGAAAAGGGCACCAAAAGTTTATAAGATAAATATATCATGATTCTTGGCCTCCCATCTACCCCTTTCCAAGTCACGCCAGCAACACTCGGCATGGGGAAGTCATAGCCAGCTTCCGAACCCAGTCTTCGAGGTCGGGGATCGCATGAGGCATCCAGGCAACTGCTGTATGACAGGTGAAAGTATTACATAAAGGAAAAAATAGAGTACGAAGATTAATGGGTAATACGTTACTTACGATCAAGGTTCCACTTCTCGGGGAACGACAGTTTCTCCTCGGGGATGAGGTCACAGGTCCTTACCCGCATGAACCGGCTCATCAAACCTCAGTCCTTGTCCTCATCGATGCTTGCAGAAAAGGATTTCGTTGATCGGCGTTGGAGCTTGATTAATCCTCGAAAAAGTCAAAGTCGATACAACGGAATGAGGTGGCTGAGAGTGAATTCTAACCCCCTAGCCTTGCCAGAGAAGAAGCGGAGCATGATCACTATGCGCCAAAACGAGGGATGCACCTGGCCGAGGGTAACCTGATACATCTTGCAAAAATCAACAATAACTGGGTCAAGAGGACCCAATGTGAAGGGGTAAGTGTAAACACTTAGAAACCCCTCCACGTGAGAGGAGATACTCTCTTCTGGAGCAGGGATTTGAACCACGACCTCGGCCCCCCAGTTGCAGTCTTTTTTCACAACCTCAAGCTGTTTCACCATTATCGAGCAAATATACCTCAATACGTGTTCACATCGGCCGGGGACGACGTAGGGTTCTCGAGTTTGAAGTCATTTTCTAAAACACAAGGGCCGTGAATGTACTCGTGAGGGAGCGGTTCCACCAGCGTTTTGTCACCGGCCGACCGGGAAGAGGAAGAAGAAGCTTTCTCCTTTTGTGGGACGGTTTTGGAGGTTTTCGCCATTGATTCAGATGAGATGAAGCGGAAAAAGGCGAAATTTGGTTTTGGTACTGATGGAATTGACTCAACAGGTGGTGGAAGAGAAGAGATGGAGAGAGGAAGAGACTTAGAAAGCTTGGTGACACTACAAGATAATGTATTTATAGCTACGAAATCTCAGCCACGAATTTAAAAATTGTGGCTATTACCTAACAATAGCTACAAAAATTAAAATTTTCTAGCTATTTATAAATTCGTAAAATTTGCTAGCCACGAAAATTAAATTGGTAAAGCTAATTCCTTATTTTTGCTATAATTTCTAAAAATCGTAACAATAATTGCCTAAATAGCTACAAATTATTGCCACAATAAACTGCAAAGCTAATTCATATGTTTTAGCCACGCATCAAAAGTTATTATAGCAATAGTAACCTTTTAGCCACAATTAATTATTTGAAATAAAATATTGTAGCTAAAGAAATACATTTGCTTCAAGTTATAAAAAAAACTGTGGCAATAGGTAAATGATATAGCCATCGATTTATTGTTATGCATAATATTGTAGCTAATTATTAATTTTTGCTACGAACGGAAAGTTATTGTAACAAAAGTAACCTTTTAACCATAATAAAATATTTAAAATAAAATATTATAGCTAGATAAATATTTTTGCTTCAAGTTCTAAAAAATTATGGGAATAGTTGGCTTAATAGCTATAATTATTTGTCATCACAGAATAATCAAGTCACAAATTTATTGATCTGATAAAATTTCGTAGCTAATTTTTAACTTTTGCCACAAGTTGAAACTTGATATAGTAATAATAATAATCTTTTAGGCCAATGAAAGTATTCGAAACAAAATTTTGTAGCTGAATAAATATTTATGCTTCAAATTATAAAGAAAATAAAAATAGTTAGCTTAAAAAATAAAAATGGTTGCCATGACAATTGATGAATATTTTTGCTCGATTATGAAAATCATGACAAGAGTCGTCTAATACTAATTATGTAATGAAATATTGATGTCAAATGTAACACTTGTATTTTTCTTATAACATAGAAAATAGTAATTTTATATGATTAAGGAAAAAAATATTAATTGTATATGATAATAATTATTTAAAATGCACAATTAATCTTCATTCTCAAACAATATTTACCTACTTATAGAAGCAAAATTTATCAATTGACTTTTTAGACTTATCAAACTCATATTTTATTTTATTGTAGTTGTTGTTAATTATATAATTTTGTATTTAAAATTTAAATAATTATTAATAGTTGTAGGTATTTAAGAAATCATTTTAAATAACTGTTCACGTATTGAAGAGCTTTGCTGGGGGAGGCTTGGTACATTTAGTTTTGATAATGACCAAAGACTTCAATTATATAAAAGAAACATATTTAACACTACAAGAAATAATAATAATAATCATCTTAATGAAATGACATTTTGTAGCTACGTAATCACAGATTTACGATGAATTTATGGTTGCATCGTTAATTAAGAAAAATATATTAAATAATAAGATTTGCAATGGAAAAAAATTATCGCTAATTTTTGTCCTAATATATGATTAGAAAAATTTAAATATAGGATCTCTATGAATAACATTATTAATTATATTAATTTTATATATTTCTCTTATATCTAGTTACACTAAGATATCTAAGTCCCTACAAAAATTAATTATATTGTTATTCTTGTTAATCAGTATTAGTAGTAAGTTCCAATTTTATTAAAAAAAATGAAATTATATTTAATTAATGTGTGAATAACTAATTATTGAGATTAAACAGCAATAATATTATATCAATTACATTGTATAACACATTATATATATTTATTCTAGATGATAAAATATGTTATAATGATATGTTATTTACTATCTTAATAATGATCATTAATCAAAATACACCGAATCTAAAATTAAAAATTTAATATCGTTCTTATATGTGAAGGAGGTCTCTCTTGTGAGTATTATTTGTATTTAAGAAAAGTTACATATTTTTACTATTATTATGCTTAATAGTGTTAGAACCCGCACGATGTGTGGATAATCTTATATACTGTTCAAAATTCTTCAATTATCTAAATTTATTAATAAATTTTTTGGGTGTTTTTTACTTACCGTCTTTTTTTAAAATTAATTCAAAGTATAAATATCCTAACATTATTTTTATCCCCCTTATTCGTACAGTTTTTTCTACTGTGATATTTGATTCGTTTTCTCATTTGTATTTTTCTTAGAATTTAAATAATATAATATTTTCTTAATTAAATTATAATTTTAAATTCATCAAAAATATAAAGAGATAAGCCTTTTATTATTTTTATAAAAATCTACCGATATTTTTAATATATATATATATATATATATATATATATATATATCTTATGTATAAATATCTTAATATTATTTTTATAATTTTTCATTTCTTCAATAGGAAATTATGAGTTTTATTTATTAACTAAGATTTTTCTATATGATAAATTTAATTAATATATACCATTTTACACTATCGCTTGGAATTTTTCTTTTTATCCTTTATGACTCTTTGTTTATTATGATTTTAGTTATGTGTATATATACGATTTTTCTCATCATAATTTTAATTATAAGTCATATATTTTTATAGTTTTTCTAAAATTGTATTTATTTCCTTTTCTTTTCCTGGTTATCTAATTGTGTTATCAATTATTTAGTATAATTAATCTGTCATACGAATTGTATTATCCCTTACTTAATGGTTTGAACTCAAAATTAATATTCTTCATAATTAATAGCTTTACTGGTTAGATTTTAAATTTAAGCGGCTTTGTCTATATTTATTAATTTATTAATTCAAATAGAGTAACCAATTAATTCAAAATTTCAAGTTTAGAAGGGTTTTTAAGTTAGAAAAGTAGTTTATTTTGTCTTAACAATGCTATCTGGCTTTTTGTTATTATGCCAGTTGTCTTAATATGGTACTTCTGCCTCTCCTTTTATTAAATAGATAGATTTCTGAGTATTATTTATATTTAAAAATAGTTACATATTTCCCTATTATTAAGTTTAATTTTGTAAAAAAGTTAAGAACATAATGTGACTGATATAGCGATGTATAATAAAACAAACTAGTATATCATAATTTATTTATTGGTAAATAATAGATATCATAATTCATATTAAACAAAGTGTTACTTGAAAGTTTCAACTAATTTAAATAAGTATATAATTATAGTTATTTAAATTTAAATATACTACTATATTAGATTTAAACAATTATGTGCTTCTTGTATCTATCCTTTTTTTTTTTTAATTTCTCACCCGGTGTCAGGTACCCACGTTGGAGCCCAACAAAATTCGAATTCGCGTCGAGAAGTCCAAGGCTCGAACTCGAGACCTCTAGTTAAGGATGAAGGAGTACTTACCACTCCACCACAACCCTTGTTTGTTGCTTGTATCTTTCTACATTGATTGCTAGTTATATTTAATTTAGATAAGTATAAAAGTTATTGATTTAATAATCTAATATTGTTTTAATAACTTAATAATTATCATAAATCTAACTTAACACAAAAAATTAAGAAGCTAATATTATTGAAATATGAACATATAACAAAACTAGCAATATTAATATAGGATGAAAAAAGCTATAAAGAAAATATATTTTAGAATATCTTTATTTCATACAAATAGTTGATTTTTTATTTTAATTAAACGTATTATATTTATTTATTTTTGGTTTACTATTGGTATATTTCTTACATTTATTTGCATTTATGGCATTTGTATTTTTTCTTGTATGTTGTACCTATAACATTTGTATAAGAAGTACGACAAGTAAATCTAAAACCTAAACCTAAACTTCCTCCCTCAGCCGCCACTCTCCCTTCCCATTTTCTTACGTTTTTCTTCCATAGTCGGCGTTAACTTAAGGCCGCGAGAAAGACAAAGAGGAACAAGATGGTATCCCTACTGCTTCTCTATTGGACAGAAATTTAACTTGTCGGTTTGTCTCTTCCCAGGTAAGCTCGTGTCCCTATATCGTAGGGTTTTTGAATCTCCTCACATTTACTTGGGTTTGAATTTGTAACTTCAATTTACGAGTTATTCTAACAATTTGATAGATATTATGCCTTATATTTTATAAGTAATGAGTGCGATTTTAAAGATTTGGTAGGTTTTGTGCCTTACATAACTTGGATTTCTGCTTCAATTATTTGTTTTTGATTTACAGGGTACTCAAGATAAATGTGCCTTTGAGAAATTATGCCAAACTATAAAGTTTACTTCTTTTTTCTATCTCCTAAAATTTCTGATGTTTATTTAAATGCTTTCTCATTTGTCTTCTGTGTTGGAAAAAACTTTAGATCTTTTTTCACCTGATTCATGGCTAAGTTTTTTTTCTTCTTCCATGATTCGTTGAATATTTTTAATTACTAACTGTAAATGCATCTTTATATGTTTTGATAATTTAAATATAAGTTTCTCACAAGATCATGTTATTTCATTATTTCAGTCTAGTGAGGGTGCTTCATATATTCTTGGATGCATGAAGATTAAGGGGTGCGATGAAGGTGGCAACATGAATCATCAAGCAAATATTTCTGTTCATTGCAATATTTTGTACATTATTTCTGATCTCTATTATAATCAAGCCTCATATTGGCTAGTTTTTCCTTCAATTTTTTATTACTGTACAAGACTTGTATTATAGATGCTGTTAATTAATTAGTACAAATGTATATTTTGAAATTTATTTTGTGAAACTTTTTAAATTTTAATTTGCGCACAATAAGTTATTTCTCATGCTTAATATATTATTAGTTTTAATATAATATGCACGATCATAGAATAATTACAAAATTTTAGACAAAATCAAATAGCTAAGAAATAGGGGATTTGTGAGAGAACATTTTGTCACCATAATAAATTATTTTTTTTGTCAAAATATTAAAATATAATAAAAATAATATAGAACTATTAGTTCGTAGCTAAAGAAATTGCTTTTGCCACAGACTAATATACGAAAGTAGTTACATATTTAACTTTTCGTGGCAAATAAATTTAGATCTTTTGCCACACTACAACACTTTGTGGCTACCATATGAAGATAGCCACAGATTTATTTATCGTAGCAAGAGTATAAAATTATTTGCTATAAATATATTAGTTATGGCAAAAGTATAAAATCATTTTGCTATAAATATAGCTACTGCACAAATATTTTGTAGCAATAAGTATTAATCCTTAGCCACGGACCATGTAAAGTCTATAGCAAACTTTTAGCAACGCTACATTTTACTACGAATGCTACGGAAAAAAATATTGTGGCTAAAGTGTTTAGCCACAGTTTTGTTTTGTGGCTATAAATACATTATGTTGTAGTGTGAAGGTGGAAGTAAAGTTTTTGATTCAACCAGGAAGCCAATATTTATAGGCTCACGGCGACGGTTTGGTGGTGCTAGTGGCCGATCGTCACTGGCAAGCATTAATGGTTTGGGGAACTGTACCGACCGGACGTTTCGGTCACCTCAACCGCTTACGTCACGAGGATCACGTCATTCTCGGGGTCTCCAGAAAATCGAGGCTCATGTTGTTTCTTATCATTTTATTCTAAGAAACGAGGGGACTATCTGTATACGGTGGAAATCGGGGCTACCAGATTTCGTCATTCGATGGAAAAAATGATACCATGTCTGAAGACTAGGACGTCGGGGTCGAAGTTCCTTTTCAAGATCGAGGTCGATTTTACTTACCGAGGTCAGAAGAAGGCATACTTAGAGATGATGCCGGTATGATTCAGTAACGGAAAGAGCGAGATACCCGCAACGCACCGGAGGTCATGGTGTGAATTTCAAAATAGATTGGTCTTCGGTAGTTAATCAGCTGTCAAATATGATTTCCTACTATAATTGATAGTGTACCTTATTTAGGACTCCCCTATTATATAAAGGGGGATCCCATCCATTTGTAACATTTATTATTTCACTAAGAAGAATATGTACATTCATTACTTTCTTGCTATTTCGCTTTACCGTTGGTCAGAGTTGCTTTATCTTCTTCTGTTCTTATTGTCACACCTCGAGGCTACCATAAGTCGAGGTCGAAATTTGGTTAGCATAACTGGTTTGAGTTATTTCATTTTCTAATTTATCTATTTAATCCCTTGTTTATCAATTGGTATTGAATTGAATCACATATCCTTAAACTACAATATAAGTTTAATTGTTACTCGAATTTTAGGGAAAACACGTTCGCCACGAGCATTTATGTGGCAGTTTTGTAAAACCTCCACGACCGCCACAATATAAATTTTTAATTTGTGGCGGTTCTTAAAGGCAATAAGCGACAGCTCGTAACACCCAAAATATGATCTCGCTGTTTTTAAAAAAAAAATATGAGAGGGTTATAAACCTTCACAATTTGATCTCAAACTTTTAAAAATAATAAACAGTGGCAGCTTATAACTGCCACAATAGTTGAATATTTTAATTCAAGTGTCTATATATATATATATATATATATATTTAAATAATTGAGGGACTAGAGAAGGTGACTTGGCACCTCTTATAGATAAGGAAATGTATTTTTCTATTATCTGCTTTTTTGAATTTTTCCCACTCATTTAAATAAAAAGGCACTGTTTCTGAATACTCAATTACTTCTACTTCCGTTAAGACCAATAAAAGAGGAATAAAGCCGCTGTTTCAGAACTAACAAGCTAAAACTTCCGCTTTTAGAGGTAAAGTAGGTATAAAGAGAATAGCCGCAAAGTCACGTCTCTTAGCCACCGTTACGATACAACCATTCCAATGGAGCTTTGCCTTCACCACCAAACCTTGAACTTTGGTACCTCCAAGAAGAAAATATTGTAACAACTTATTTCTATTTTAATTTGCTTTTCAAATTTGGAAATATTTTAATTATGGTTTAGGGTTACATTATTTTTAATAAATTCTTCGCTCCCATGTGTCTAATTTGGGTATGACTGACAGTAATTTCCTTGAGAAACATGTAGAGTGGATTCAAAGGGTGGATATATGAAGTTTAATAGTTTTGGACTTTGTGATTAACTTTCAGTTATATGAGTTCACACGGAAAGTATGATATGGTTTTAAGTCTGGATTAAGGAAAAATAAGGTGATATTTTTCTCATGTCTTTTATTCTGCACTTATATTATAAGGATAAGAATCGGTCCATGTTGATTTGGGGTTATTTCACTATATATCTCTTTATTGTGAATTCTTTGTCAGTGTGCTTTGCAATGTGAATGAGGTGGTATTTTTATTATGTCTTTTATACTGCATGTTACAAGGATAAAAAATGACTACATGTTGTTACGAGTAATTTCATTATACAGGTTAAATGTGAATTCTTTGTCAGTGTGCTTTGGATTGGCTTATATCTCATGTACTTTTAATTCTCGCAGTGTAAGAAAAAGCTCCGCTAATAGGATCAAATATGGAGTTAATAGTTATATCTTCAAAGTATTATATTTGGCCTCTAAAATTTTATATTCATTTTGCTTTTGTTAAAAATCCATAGATTCATAAAGAGCAAGAAAACAAAACAAGCAAAGAAAGATGAAAGTCGCCGAAGATACAAGAGCAGTCAAAGGATAAGGTCGGACTATGAATGTCTCTGTCATCTAATTAGAGTAGATTAGGCTTTATTCAGAAATTATTATTTCAGTAACAAGTAGTTTATAGAATTTTTTATTTGCTTTAGCTCCAATATCTCTAAATGTCGAGTGAATAATTATGTAGGGATATATCTTTTGTTCAAGGGCAAGTTTGAGTTAATGACATTCTTTGTAGCCTTGTGAATGTGATGCAATGTTATTTGCTTTCAAAAGGGTCAAGTTTGTAGATTACTACGAATCAAACTAAAATATTTTTGGAAAAAGAACCAAAGTTATAGGTTTTCACCAAAATGATAAAAAGAAATTACTTTAAGGTTGACTCATGGGATTATCAGGAAAAGTCCAAGATGGCCTTTTTATTGTTAGCGGATCTTATCTTACATGATATATGTTGTTCATTTACGTTCACTTTCATTATATCTTTTCGATTAATTTCATTTTATGCGTCATGACATGCCTTGCTATTGTGATACATTATATTTGTAGTTCAATTTTTGTATCCGGTTGTTTTTATATATTAGTAAGGGCATTGCAATAATTTTGAATAAATTTATATGGACTTTTGCATTTTGACACATTTAATTGAGTGAATAGAAAATGAAAAGGAAAAAGAATGGTGCATGAGAAAGAAGTGATCATGACATGTATTGACAATTTAGGGAAGTGCTTCTTTTAAGTTTTATGTTTTTAAAATAGAAGATAAATTTTTTATTCTTACCTGTAGGGTGTGTTTGGTATATAGGAAAATGTTTTCCATGGAAAATGTTTTCTTGGAAAACAAGTAGTAATCTTATTCATTTTCTGGTGTTTGGTACGCAAATCAAGGAAAATATTTTCTCAAGAGTATTCATAAATAATTTTGATACAATAAACATGAAGCCATAAACTTTCGAACCAACAACTTTCCGAACCCACAAATTTCATAAACTTCTGAACCGCAAAATTTTCGAAACCGCGAAGTTTCGAACCCGTAAACTTTATAATTTCTAAACCCGTAAACTTCGAAACACATAAACCTCCGAACTCATAACTTTTGAACTTGTAAACCGAAAGACGAAAAAAGTAAAACTGAAAATTTATAAAAAAAATATTTTTTCCCATGGGGGGGGGGGGGGCAGCAGCTGTCACGACCCAAACCCCGATCCGGTCGTGATGGCGCCTCTCGTGAAGACAAGGCCAGCCAATCAACCCAAATTGCCTTTTCAGAATAGTTAATATTAATAAGCAGTTTTAGCATAACTAAATAACCACAGTCTAAACAAAAGATTTCTTTATTAAGTGCGGAATACAACCCAAACACAGCCCAAACCGGGGTGTCACCAGTCACGAGCATCTATTAGAGTGTAAATACAACTACAAGGACTGAATTAACAAAACATGAATGATGAACATAAGGGAGAAAAGCGGTGCTGCGAACGCTGGCAGCCACCTCGCTAAACCCTGACAACACTACCTCCGATCAGCCAAAACCCGCTACCGGGTGTATGAATACCTGCATCTTCACACAAGGTGCAGGGAGTAAAGTGAGTACTCCAACTCAGTGAGTAATAAAGGTAAATAACAACTGAGCAGTAAGAAATCACGTAAAGCAAACCATCATGCTGTATAGAAGCAGTGTCAAACCCTTTGAGAAAAGCAGTGAAGCTGTGAAATCTTTAGAAATATCTTAGCTCAGTTTAAACCTCTTTTGAAAATGACTTTTCAGCAGTTACACAATGATTGTAAAACAGTTAGTGCCGATAAGCACAGAAAATCCGACCCTCGGGCACAATTACCACAGCATAACAGGTAAAATGACAAGTGAATATGAAAGATGAACACATAAAGGTTCGCCCCTCGGGCAATATCTCAAAACAGTACCAGCCCCTCGGGCTCACTCTCAGAACACTCTCAGCCCCTCGGGCTCTCTCCCTCAGATCACTCTCAGAATAGTATCATATAGTACGCGCTGCAGCGTGCAGCCCGGTCCATATATCGCTGCGGCGTTCACATCAACCGGTTCCTTATCCTCCCACGAATTCATACATACCAAAAGTTCTCAAATCCGACCTCAAATGGTCCTTCAAATCCCAATTCAAAAGTTCAAAATCCCAAGCCCTAGTTCTTCCATTTT